TATGTTAGCCCTTGCTGACAGAGTTGGAATTCCGATGATGGACATTATTGAATTGTTACATTAAATGATGAATTGCAAGGCGAGGTGTTATAGAGCATTTCAAGTGATTATCACATTGTTGTGAAAAAAGAGCTCCCCCCGTACCTCCGGGAGAGACCGCATCCATTCATTTCTTAGCCTTCAAAAAGTTCGACTTTCTAATGAAAGAATGAGTCGAGTGATCATCAGTCAACCATCAGAAAAGAATAGAGAAAAAAAAGAACAATTATGGGGTTTCGAATTTGTGTGTAACTGTTGTCAAGGGTTTGAATAATAATGTTAGTTTTAAGGGAACATACCTGATATTATTCCTGTTTTCTCGATTCAGCTCCCTTCGGATGGCACGTAATGGTGTATCTGAATGTCCAACACCCATGTTGGGTTCGAGTAGGGTCCACAGCCAGCTCGGATATTCATCATCAGCCTTTGCGATCGGATCACTTTCTCCTTTAATGTATGCTAGACCTTTGATAGGCGAGCCTGCTGGAATCGTCGAAACCGGTACTGTTTCTAAACATAAATCCCGGTCAAGTTTCATGTCAGCTTTGTCACCTCAGACTACTTCTTTCTACCCATATACGAGAGAAACGTGTGGTGTCGGGTACTGACTTTTTGCCTGTGATGTTTTCTTTTCTTGCGTGGGCTGAGAAGCCAAATGACGATCCCCCAGATTGGAAGTGGCCCTCGAGTAAATTTGTTTCGATTCTGTATGGCTTGACAGTCGTAGCAGGCCCGTTCTGATTAGGGAAGACATCTTCGAGGTTTTGAGATGCGAGAAGTTTTCAAGACCAGCTCAGCCTCAGCGAAAGTAACCCAGATCACGTGACACCTCCATTCATAACTTTCACAGCAGATGGGACACTCTCGTGACACCTTGAACACCACCCTGAGTGTAAACTGAAACATCCTGGTCTGCAAACTCAGCTCACGTCGATCTGTGTGCATCAACTCTTCTCGGGATGATAAGACATCTGTACTCGTCTTCAAGCAAACCCAGATACTTCCACCTCTCAGTCTACACGGGT